GACATCTATCAAGATTTATGATGACTGGACAAATCGTTAATGAGTTATAGCCATTTACCTGCCAAGCCCCTCCCTTTGCCAAGACAGAGATTGACTATGGCCAGGTTTTTGACCAATCTTGTTCATTTATAACCAAAATCTGTGTGTCAGTCCGACAAGGCTGTGGTCTAAATTTGGTGCTGATAGAGTCAAAATTAACAAATATTCTATTCATTTTATATTTTTATTATGCAAATTAGTAAAAAAAAAAAATCTGTCATGGCAGACCTCTACGTTCCAGGAGGCTTTTTTATGGAGCACATTAACCTTGATGTTGTTCCAGATTTCAAGTCATTGGACATGCGGTGTGAGATGCGTAGCCTTTCCAAAATTGTATTTTTGGATATTAATGACAGCACCACCATGTGACCGATGGGGGTCACATGCCATGGGAGGGATATGCACATCATTTCCAGTTATTGGGCCAAGTCTCATGTTTCCACCTCATTTCAGCTCACGGCAATTTAAGGTGTGACATAGAACAACAAACAATAAATACAGCTGCAAGCTGCAATCTCGGGTTCAAGTCCGTTCTTTGCCAACAGAAGGAAGCAGCTCACATGACCAAAATCAGTGCTGCAAGCGACAGGAAGTAGGTTTTTAAGCTGATTTATGGGCTGCTATCACTGGAGTAAGTTGGACTGATTCCATTTGACTGGATTATGATTCTGAGAATTACAGGTTCAAAGGCTTTTTAAAAAACAACTATAACTATAATCAGCGGCAGTAGAAACAAATTACAGGGTTCCTACATTCATGAAATTCCTGGATAAACTAGGAAATTAGGAAGTGTTTTCCAGACTTGAAAATGGTCTGGAATTAAAAGAACGTTTTAGAAAAATACATACAAATATACAATGTTTTTGGCTATTGTTATTATATTCATAATGTTACACAAAATACTTTCTTTGTATTACTAATTTAGAATCTAGTACTGCGCTGTATGCTCTTTGAAACGTCGGTAGTATCGACGTATAAATATACGTATTTGATTTAATCACCAGGTATTGTTATTCAGGCATCTATGTCCAGATCATGGCATCATGGCCTGTGTGTTGGATCATAGATCCAATAGAATGGTGGGGGACTAAAGGGACATGACAGCAATCAACTTTATTTTATTAAGGTATCACAAGCGCTCAAGTTCAGGCAAGGTGTAGGAAAAACAGCCTTCTGAACTCTCCCAAAACCTAGATTGTAAGTAAATGGACAGGGGTGAGATGGGCCACTCTGAGGGTCAAATGTTTATTGCTTTGTCCCAGCCTCACCTCAAAGTTGATTAACTCTTTCACCATCAACCTGATGCTAAGGGTGGTAAAGGTGTCAATTGGAAACCATCCAGATCCCAGTTTGCTGATTACCATCCTGGGAAAATCCAGCGTTTTGACAACTCAACCAACACTAAAGGATCATATCTTTGGTGAAACAGGACTGAATACTCTACCTCCAATAAAACCACCTCCTCTCTTCCTTTTGTCACATCTAGGGGGCCCCCCCGCTCTATCTTTCTCTCACCCTGGTGAAAGTAAGATAAGAGGTCCAGATGAGAGTCGTAAATTCAGGATGAATTCCTGAGCAGAGACTAAGTTTCTCTTGTTAACCAACTTGAAATGTCTCTTGAAATTAAAACTATACATTTTATCCACGTTCTAACATTGTAACTGTGCATAATCCTTGTTTTTTAGTTGAATGATTTTTTCCCCACTCTTGTAGGTCATAGTATGAGTGAGTTATAATTTCATGTGTTTAATCCCTCATTTAACATGGAGTCATACTGCGACCTTGTGAGGATAGTTAAGAAGGGTTCCCGTAGGAATCCCATATTATATTTCGAGTTAAGATATAGTTAGATTGATTAATTAACTTGTCTTTATTAATATGTGCTTTCTCATTTAGTATTCTGAAGTAACTGCAGACTAGTTTGTGTTTGTGCATGAAACATTTAAACCTGTGTTCCGCTGATATATGCGGTATAATAATCGTATTAAATCTAATTTGATGTTAAGAGTCAATTTTGACCATAATGGGAAGAGTATGTGTCTATTGCGCGTAACATGTTCAAGTATATAATCTTGCAAAATAAAGTTCAGTAAGTGTCCTCCGAAATAAAGTAATGTCTATAGGCCTACTAAGAGACCCGCCTTGCCTCAAACATGCCCACTCAACCTGGTCGGATAAAAGTACTGAGCTCGGTGCATCTCTGGACTCTTTACTTTTCTTTTTGACTTTCACTTCACTTTTACTTTCTTTTCCTTTACTTTTACTTCTTTTTTTCTCTTGTTTCTTTTGCCGTCCTTCCTTCTAGTTATACTCTTTATGCTTTAACCTGTTACGCTCTTACACTCGGTTCCTGCGTAACCCTTTCTTTTCTTACAATCGAAATTATTTTAAACTTTTAGGTTTTGCTCGACATGTCCAGGATTGTCTTGTCTGTCCTGAGTTTTCTTTCTTTTTGTCTGTGCCTTCAGTAACATTATACCTGAAGCGACAAAGCCAGCCGATTGCAACAATTTTTATACGTGTAGATAATAACATTGATAATAATATCGAACGGCTAACAAGATTGTTTTCAACCTTATTATAAGCGAGTAGCCACAGCTAAATAGATAAGCTATTATTCGATAGAGCTGGGTTGAAAAAATCGATTTAATCGATTCGAATCAATTTTCCTTTAAATGGCACAGTATCGATTCATTAATTAAAAAATCGATCTTTTACTATAACTGTTTTCCTCTGTGGACATGTTGTACAGCCGGTAGCAGACTGCAGCAGCCTGCAGTACTATCAACCCAGGTAGTCTCACGAGATCAGCATTTAGCACCTGAGGTCATGGCGAGAGATCTCGCGAGACGGCCGGACACTGAATGAAGGCAGAGCAGCAAACAATGGTGGGAGCGCGTCCACTGAAGGCATGGGTCTATGGTGCGAGTATTTCACTCGCATTTTCCCCTAAAAATATAACGCTAACAGTGTACGAATGTTCATTAAATGCACATTAGTTTCACAGAAAAGATTAAGAAATACCACTAAGCATCAGCACACTGCAAACTGTAGCCTCAGTTTGTACCTCATACAGATCTGCTGGTAAAGTTAACTTAACGTTAGCAAGCGTGATAAAAGACGGCAGAGAGGCGATGTTGTGCAAATAAACTAAAGATTTATTATTTTTCTGTAGCAGTAAACACATGGGCCAATAACAAATGTGTTAACTGGGTCCATGTCATTGGTTCGACATCCCATTAGTCCGACTGTCCGCGGTGCTGAACGGCTCGCAGCAGGCGTATGGTGTGCCGCGACCTGCTTGAGGCAGAGCAGGCTCACGGCTTATGAGTTTGTCACTTTCTTTATCATTTTAACCCACACCATGATCTTTTCCTGACCCTAACCAAGTGGTTTTTGTGCCCAAACCTAACCAGACCTTAACCACAGGGCATCATGATGATTTCAGAACGGACTTCGGAACAATGAGTTTAATATGGTCGGAACAATGGGATGTCGAACCAATGGGCTGGTGAACCAATGGGCAGTTCCCGTGTTAACTAACTATGCTAAAGCTTTACAAGCTATTCAGGGCTGCTGACAATAACATTAACATGACAAACAGCAAGGCTAACGTTACAGCTAACAAGCTAATGTACTGACGCTCCTCAGACACTCTCTCACACACACACACACACACACACACACACAGGCTACATACCGGACAGCCTCTCAGTCCTTCCTTAGCCGCTAACATTAGCTCATGTACAACACAGGTACCACACAGAAACTTTTACAAAGGGTCATAATGTGCTTCTAGTGACTGTCAAATCGCCAGCGAACGTTGTTTACACAGACACGGAGAGCAGCGTGCCTGCTCTCATGGGACAAAGATCCTCCGAGAAGAAAGATGGTTCACTCTGCTCTGCTGCCAGGAACAAACTGGGAGGCGATCCTCTCTGAGGAAGAGGACTCACTTTGCTGCAGGGTTCACCTACGTATATTGTTTCTCTTCTGATACAGTCAATGTGTGCATCACAACCACTGTAGTGTATTGCACAAAAGCTTTATAAAGATGGTTACAGGCAGCAAACTTATGGATGTCCTTTGTTTACATTTTTTGTAGCCACTTCATTTAAATTGTCTGCCTTGTGATTAGATTTAATTTAAAATATTTATTTTGTATGTGTTGGTCAGGTAATGTTAAATAAAAGTACATGATGACTAATGTACTGCTTTGGGGTCAATTCTTAATGTAAACAGTATTTTTAAAAGTAATGCACCAGGTCAGAGGGTTCCTTGTTAAATATACTTCGTTAGTTCTCAGAAAATATCTTAATATCCAAGCAAATTTTGTATCATAATTGAAATATACTTGACTGAATCAATATTGAACTGTACTGAATCGAATCGAATCAAATCGGATCGAACTGAGTCCTTGAAAAGACCAGAGATGCAAGCCTACTCAGTTGAGTGGGCGGGGTCTGGAACCAGGCTAGGAACTAAGATCAATGTATAGAGAATTCATAATCCAGATATTGAGATTGTTTCATGATTGATAAGTGTACTAACGAATTAATAATTGATTTCCAGAGTTATTAATTTGATTAGTCGCTTCTCTCCATCAGAGGGTGGTGCCCCTAAATTTATGATGAGTGCAAACATTTTCTAAAGGTATTGCTCCTACAAATGTCACAACATAATTATTAGATACGTTCATAAAACAGGAAATAAATGCAAATAAAATTTCTATATCCCAAAAAGGCAGAGGGAATGTCTAACAAGCGAGTACAGTTAGCAAATGCTAGCAATTTGCTTATCCACAAATGCCTGGGAAGTGCATATTTAATAAAATATGGATGTATGCAGGCCTACCCATTTAAAATAAAGTCATGGAAACAGGGTAAAATATTGTAAAAATGTTATTGAGAAGTTCTGCAAATTCATTGGTAAAAATGTGTGGGAACCTTGAAATTACTCACTGGCCACCAAACAGCTGCATGCCCAGCAGAGCAAAAACCACGATGAAGAGGAAGAGGAGGAACAAGAGGCTGATGATAGACTTCATGGAATTGAGAAGGGATACAACCAGGTTCCTCAAAGAGTTCCAGTACCTTTGCACACAGACATATGAATATATGTATACATAAATATAATGGCATAACCAGTATTCCCAACACACAGGCAGATGATCCTGATGACTCACTTGGTGACTTTGAAGATCCTGAGCAGTCTAAGAGCCCGCAGGACACTGATCCCAAATGAGGCCCCGGGTTTGATGGCAGCCCAGATCACCTCAAAAATACTGCCAATAATAACCTGTAAACACAGATTTCATTTTCAAATACTCCAAACATGCTATTCTTGCCATAATCAAACACACTTTTTTCTTTGAGGCATTGGTCCTGACCCATTTGAATTACTCTACACATGCTTACACGCTAAAATCACTCAGGACTGAATCAACTGAACAGGACGACTCACCCCAAAATCAAAACAGTTGAATGAGGAGTGGAAGTAGTTCTGGGGTCCAAGGCCATACATTTTCATGGACATCTCTGCCAGAAACAGGCCCAGGAATACAAACTCTGCCAAGTCTGTCCAGAGACAATAAGAAGACACACAGATTAATTCCCCAGGTTACAAACATCTCCATGCTGATTTATACAATTCAATGAAGCAGCTAAAGTTGCCTACACAGCTGTGCTCATGGCAAATAAGACACAAAAGAGTCTATTGTTTGAGGAAATAATGTTGTATACTCCCATGATTAAGTGTGTGAGATGTATATTTGCTCACGTGTGTTTATGAAATGTACAATGGCACTTGTGTGATGTATGTTTGCACATCTGTCACATATCACTGTCCCTATCTCTGTCTCAAGCAGGACACCAGCATTTATTTTTCTTTTTGTTTTTTAAAGATTTTTCTTTGGAGGGGGACTTTTTGCCTTTATTGTTGGACAGCTCATGAATGACATGAAAGAGAGCATAGAAAAGGAGGATGACATGCAGCAAAGAGCCACAGGATGGAATCAAGCCCGGGGTGCTGCAAGGACTCAGTGCACATGGGGCTCTGCCAGGTGAGCTAGAGGTTGCCCCAGTCTTTGTTTTTTAATCTGCCTGAGCAGAGCAGGATATAAATAGGAAATACAGTAGCACTCTATCTGAGCAGCCAACTTTAAAGCAAGACTATGTAAGTTTTGTCTAACAGTTGTAGTCACAAGTGACAATTTCAGGAACATGATAAATGCTGAAATATTAAAAAGTGGCACCAGTATGAGTCAGCAAACTGACTCAGTAATGTCAGTTACACAGCAATCTTAATTTAAAGTTAGCTAACATTAGCCACTATAAGCTACTGATCATGCCAGCTCAAGCAAGGCTGTAGCGGCAAACCCCTAAATGCTTTGGATTGAGCAAGGGTGTGTTTTATTGATTTAAATTCAAATTATTTACTTAAATTCTTTCTAGTAAGTAAAGGTTCAGGGTTGATGCCACTGGGTGAAACTTAATACTTACTGGTGGATATTCTAATTCCCGAATGTATACACAGCCAAATATAAGAGTAGTGGTAAGATAAATAGTTATATGATGAAGGCATATTGGTTTGCATGACAGTTGGTGACAATGTATACAACTGCTGGAGCTCACATAGTGCATAGGTGAGCCATTCGGGCTGGTCATAGTGTACTATGGCTACACACAACGTGTTGAGGCCAACCAGACACAACACAGTCCAGTAGAAGCTCTGGGATTTGACCAAACGGCGGATGGTGAAGCGAATCCTCTTCTCTTTCCTCCTGAAGTAAGACGAGCTCTCGTTCTTGCTCTTTAAGCTGGCCCGGGTGAACGGTGACCCTGGGGGGGCAGTTGGAGCCAAACACACACAATGCAATAAAGTTACCAAGTCTTAAAGAAAGGTGTTCTTACCAAATCAAGACTGTGTTTGGATGTAGTTATTTTCAACCTAAGCCTTGTTGTAAGAACGTACTGCAGAGCAATGTACTTGTCAGTTTAAAATTGGCACTTTTCAATACAATCCAGCATATAATTCATATACATAATTTCCACTGTCACAGAAAAAATAACACAAAGAACCACAAGGGCAAATGGACTAAATGTGGTATAATGAACATACACATTTCAGCAGAGGCTTTTTCATATTCCCATATTGAATGTTCTATAACTTAAATCAAGCCAAAATATCTAGTGGGAATGAATACAAAAGGAATAGACAAAATTTGTTCTAGCACAATGTTGTGTGTGTGTGTGTGTGTGTGTGAGTGTGTGTGTTGTGTGCCCTCCACAGCATACTGACATAGAACTGTTAAAAAAAAAAGTGCAATCTGTTTAAAAATAATTAAATAAAATACCCTGTGGCAATTCGACACAGCTTAGCGACCTTGTGTTTTTACATTTCACATTAAAATACTGTAGATCAATCAAATCAGTGCATCCTGTTGTTAAAACAATCCAGTTAATTAATTCAGTACCAGTTAATATAACCTTTATTCTTGCAAACCCTGTGAAACCAACTGCATTGTCACACAATAGGCCTACACACACAGTGAAGCTGGCAGGAACCACACACTACAGAGAGGGAGTGAGTGTAGCAGGTAGAAAACCCGCCTTGCTCGGACTATGTGATGTGTCATGTCTGTGCCCCATGTATTTTGGCTGTTAGACACCACAATGCTGCTGGCCACAAGCCTGTTGTGAACCACGGGACTGAGGTTGCACTAGCTAAACTCAAGTTGCTACAGCGGCTATGGTCTGAAATGCTGTTCACTCTCCACTGGGGATGTAGTGTCCTAGGGGGTCATCCCTATGTTTCCAGGGTTCTATGTTTCCCAGGTTCTATGTTCCCCACTTAACCCTGCAAAAAAGGTTCTATGTTCCCCGCTTACACAAAAAGGGTTCTATGTTTCCCGCTTGGTTGAGCGGGCAACATAGCACATAGCACTAGCACCCTTTTTTGTGTAAGCAGGGAACATAGAACCTTTTTTGCAGGGTTAAGTGGGGAACATAGAACCCGGGAAACAGAACCCTGGAAACACAGATACGCTCCCTTAACATGTGATGTAATTTTGTGGTTTTTAGCTGGCTAATATTAACTAATGTTGTTTGGTAATGCTGACAAATTGCTTGCTATTCATGTAGAGGCACCCAGATTCCATCTGTGGGAGAGAAGCCAGTTAAGAGCCTGGGCAAGATCTATGACTGCACCTTGAAGGACACCGCAGCACTCCAAGCAACATCAGAGGAGTTGGGAACCTGGCTGACAGCAGTGGATAAGTCAGGATTAACAGGCAAGTTTAAAGCCTGGATCTACCAACATGGCATACTGCCACGACTTCTCTGGCCACTGCTGGTCTATGATGTGCCACTGACCACCGTGGAGTACTTCAAGAGGAAGGTCAGCTGTTTCCTGCGGAAGTGGTTGGGCTTACCACGAAGCCTCAGCAGCATAGCCTTGTACGGGAGGAACAACAAGCTGAAACTGCCCTTCAGTAGTCTGACAGAGGAGTTTATGGTAACCCAAGCAAGAGAGGTGCTGCTGTATAGGGACACCAGTGACGTCAAAATCTCCTCGGCTGACATAGAAGTAAGAACCGGCAGGAAGTGGAAGGCTCACGAGGCAGTCAACCAGGCTGAGTCCAGCTTGAGACACAGTGAGCTGGTGGGAACAGTGGCGTCCGGACGGTCAGGTCTCGGGAGCAACCCAAGACCTCACTTCAACAAGGCCCAGGGAAAGGAAAGGAGTCAGCTGATCCAGGAGGAGGTCCGAGCAGGGGTGGAGGAAGCCCGCTGCACTAGGGCAGTAGGGATGCGGCAGCAGGGGGCGTGGACCCGATGGGAGGAGGCAGCTGACCGGAAGATATCGTGGACAGAGCTATGGCGATCTGAGCCACACCGGATCAAGTTCCTCATCCAGTCGGTGTACAATGTTCTCCCAAGCCAGTCCAACCTCTTCCGCTGAGGCCTGGCTGAGAATCCACTGTGCCCTCGCACTCCTCGAGTGCTGGATCGCTGGAGCACATCCTGAGCTGCTGCCCAAGGGCGCTGGGGGACGGGCACTACCGCTGGTGCCATGACCAAGTGTTGCGGGTCATCGCAGAGGTCATCAGCACAGGGATCTCCACCAGTAAACACCAACAACCAACAAGGCAGTCCATCGCCTTTGTTAGGGCTGGGGAGAAGCCACAGCAGTGCCGGAGTCAAGCAGGGGGACTGCTGGCAACAGCTCGAGACTGGCAGCTGAAAGTCGACCTAGGGAGACAGCTCAAATTCCCGGAGAACATCGCAGTGACCACACTCAGGCCAGACATGGTCCTGGTGTCAGAAACAACTAGGCAAATGGTCCTGCTAGAGTTGACTATTCCATGGGAAGACCGGATGGAGGAGGCTTTTGAGAGGAAGAGGGCCAAGTATGAGGAGCTGGCAGGCGTATGCCGAAGCAGAGGATGGAGGACCCGATGCAACCCCATCGAGGTCGGGTGCAGAGGATTCGTAGGCCAGTCTCTCATCAGAGGATTTTGGGAGTGAAGGGACAGCACAACAGAAGAGCCATCAAAAACATCACTGACGCGGCAGAAAAGGCATCCAGATGGCTGTGGATCAAGCGGGGAGATCCGTGGACAACTAAAGCTACTTAGACACAAGCCGGGACTGATCACCCTGGCTGGGTCGCCTGGGCGAGGGTGTCTGTTGTGAGACCCGAAACACCCAGTGAACCCAGGATACAACACTGTTGATGTGTCTAAGTTGCACCGAAAGTGTATTTTAGAACTAGGAAAATATTGTCTTTAGTATCCATCCATCCATTTTCTAACTGCTTATCTTCTCGAGGGTCGCGGGGGGCCGGAACCTATCCTATTCTATCTGACATTGGCTGACATGTAGAGACAGACAACCATTCACAATCACATTCACACCTACGGATAATTTCAAGTCACCAATTAACCTTTCCCCAATCTGCATGTCTTTGGGCTGTGGGAGGAAGCCGGAGTACCCGGAGAAAACCCACGCTGACACGAGGAGAACTTGCAAATTTGAACCAGGAACCCTCTTGCTGTGAGGCCACAGTGCTAACCACCACACCACCGTGCCGCTTGTCTTGAGTAGTCATGATTTAATTCATCTAGACCCCAGGGCTCAATGTTAACCAGAGACACCTTGCATTTTCTTAAGGCCCGAGTATATTTCTGCCACAAAGTGTAGTTTAAACTGCACAGACAGCTGTTTAAAATCACACAATTATCCTGCTTGATTGTGTTTTTAACTTATTATCAATATATTCATTAACTGATCAGCTCCCAGCCAGTCTGTAAGCAGCAGATTCCCCTTACTCACTAGAGTTGGACCAGAAATATAATTCAGTACAAACACTATTGATTTCTGCCCACGGTGCTGACATGAAAACAATTTTCCTTCAGTAATTATCTGTTGTCAGTCAGCCTGGTTGAGGCAGTTTGACCAGCTGCTGTGCTCTCAGATCTCACTGAGCTGCTGCTGACAGACAACTTCTTCTGTGGACAGAGACACTGAATGCAGGTCAGAGTCGGTGTGGATTTAAAGGGAGGCTGACGTCAATGTTACCTTCTGTTGGGTCCACTCCCTGGACTAGATGCTTTCTGCTGAGATACTTAAGTATTAATGTTGTGCTATTGAGGTAAGCTAGTTCAGTATTATAATAAACTCACTATACAGAGTTTTTGTTTTGTTTCAGTTTGAAATCATCCCAAACTTTGGACACTTTTTATCATTATCTCTTGTCTATCTCTTCTACTCACCCATTGCTATTTTCATCATAAAATAAAAATGGTAGCTTACCTTTAACTAGGTGTTTAGTCATCTAGTCTGAGAGTGTGTTACTGATTTACCTTACTTCTTTATGAATGGCCCAAGTTATTTATTTTACCACTACATTATATTATTGATATCACTGAAGTCTGCGGCTTTATGTTTCACACAGTACAACTCTGATTTATTCAAACAGCAGTTTTAAAAATGTATAAACTGCATTGTTGATGCAGATGAGTGGAACATTAGCTAGTAAACATCAGGGGTTATCAACTTTACATGGAACTACAATTTATACTAAATAATGTCTAAGGCTGACCTTCGGAGCTCAGAACAAATTTAATTCAAAGCATTCAACGACCGGGGGGGGGGGTTGGGGGGGGGGGGGGCGGGTTAATGTAAGAATTGGGGGTAATGTAGTGTTTCACTGACATTTTTACAGAAAACTACAACACGGAAGTGCGCTCGACTATGGAAGCCCGAATGACTGTGGACATTCCTCGCAGAGTCCGCTCCGCTTATAGTCCACCCGAGTCTGTGAGCACCTTAAATTAAAACCTTTGGCGTACACTGCAGCACAATCAAACAGATGCGCAACTCAGAGCATCAGAAGTGTCTCTGACACCAGACTCAGAGCAGCTCTGAGTAAGCTTGTTGGGTTAGTGTTGCGTTTAAGGCCTCCCTCAAAAAAACGAAAAAAAAAAGCGCCAAAGCTTTGATTTCTTTTTTTCACAATCGAATCCCGTGCCATCGAACGAAGCTTCGAAGCATCGAATTTTTTAGGTCAGCCCTAATAATGTCTGTGTTTAGCATCTGTTTATGAGTTGCAAGAAATTATATATCATCTTTTATAAGGAGTAGCTGTTTACTGTGAGCTAGCTCAGGCTCAGTTAAATTTAACAGCATGCTAATATAGCAAGGCAAGCTAATTACTAAAGCGCTTGGTTAAAAAGGTAAACAACCAATGCTTTGAGA